TTTTTTACACTAGGATTCGTCCTATGTTGTCATAAACATCAGATTTAAATTTAATTGGTTTTTGATATCTGAGTGCCTGGTTCAAATTGATCGTCTAAATTCTAAAACTTGTTGTCTTGATAACAAAACTGCTGCTTGGCTTGCTAAATCTATGGCCATTTGATACAAATGTTTTAATTTGAGTGCTCTCTGTGCACCTGCAAACTAATAAGCTGCTCCTTTTTGAATCTCTAAGCATAGAAAAAGCACATCATCTTTGAAAGGGACCATATACTAATTTCTTTTTCCCCTTAACATTTTACAAACACCAAATTCTAACGTCCTGCCTCTCAATCCACAGGCACTCTACTCAACTTTGCAACACAATAATTACTGGTGTGTGTGTGTGCAGAGTCAGCACAATGTCATTTTTAACACCAGAAACTTCTGATATAGCCCATATAGCCCTGGTGAGATTAGTTGTCCCTGTCTTTAACTATGTTTCCCATCAACCTCAGAGATGGTAAACAGTCTCCAAGGTGGCCAAGATTGAGCATAAGCTGGGAAGGTCCATTTAGCACAAGATTTCATCTTGACTAAGAAATTGAAGCTTGTGCTAGGTATGGACATCTGAAGAATCATTAAACAGATTGCTTCCACTTAAACTGCCTGCTAGCACTCATTAAAAAAGGCAGCATTGGATTTTGATGTCCTGAATTTCAATTAATATCTTCCTGTAGCTGCAAACAACTGATGGGAGTAAACTTGTTGTTGCAGACGATTTTGAACATTGGTTACAGTTATATCAACTCTTATTGTTCAAATGCTACTGAGGATTTCAAGGGGGCTTTTGAAATACATCAGACTTTCTGTGACATTCCACTGATTCATTTCTGCATTCCCTCCCAAAGTGATCTGAGGATTGAACCGCACAGTATTAAGTGCTATACTACTTCACCTCTGTCTTGGAGTCAGCAGGAAAAAGGAAGTGCTGAGCCATCAAATTCTTACTAGGGTTCTCTGACTTTACACTTCAGTCAGTCCAAATCGTGGCTATCAGCAGCAAGATCCAAATTAAACCTAGACTTTCAAACAGGTATGTCTTATTAGCACAGCCTACCTGTTTGCAACCTTCCAACCAAATAACAGAGATCTGTGTAAGTTAAGATTAGGTAGCATCAGTTTAGCTTCCAGTGAGCATAGAGTCACATAGCAAATCAACACCTCCCTCCCCGCTCCTCTCAAATTCAACACACATTTGACGAGTATATTGGTGAGTTATCTTCCAAAGCTGGGCCGAGCTTCTTCATGGGCCATTACAGAGCAATCTTTGTACATCTCTATCAGACTAGCGAGAACTTGATGCTATCACTGATTGTTAAGATAACCTTGGTAATCACATCTCTCCTAATTACCTAGATTAATCACCTAATCAAATTAGGTATAACTGTAAAAAAAATTCAAGCCAGGTTTCTTACAGCAAATTCAACAGTAGGTTTCATTTTTATCAGAAAGCTACTTAGATTGGTTAACGCTTGCTAAATGTGTTAATGATTTTAAGTAGACTTATTTTGCCATTTTCATATGTTGATGCAAAGTGGTTTACAATGCACAGCACCAAGTTAATATAAACTCTAGCTAATCATGATAGGGGTTGGGAACAAGTCTTATTCGGCATTTTTGCTCCTGGCTCCACAAAAAAAATCAATATTTACCTTTTCTGACTGACCACTGTACAGTAGGTTTTACTGAATAGAACATTTGTGGTACATACTCCATTAAATATGCAGTCAGATTTATATGAAGGACCTATACGTGTAGAGTTTAGAACTTGATTCTCATTGATGATTGGGGGTCTTCTCTGGTTCAGGTAGATGCTCCAACTACAAAGTTCAAAGCACAAAGCAAATTAGGAATGGAATGGGAATGATGTTAATGTCCATCAGCATTATATTAGTTCCACTATTGCAGCATTTCTGTTGGGTGAATGGTGTAAAAGTCACCCCCACAGTTATTTATTGCCCTAAATTAGTTTGCCTTTTATTACAAGGATTCTCAAGTTGAAATTACATCTGTTTCTGGGAGTTCAGCATTGGTATTAGTATTTATTTATATCATTGATTTTTAGACACACAACATTGACTGCTTTTGGTGACTAAATCATTTCATGGCTGAGTAATGGCTCCAATAGATTAGTTAATTTTGGAAATTAATGTTTTTAAGTTATTTGATATGAATCAAATAATTCCATTGCAGTTATTTTTCATTACCCACATTTGCAATAATGTTGTCTTTAGATCTTATTGTCATCACATTTTAAATTATCAAATGTGGCATTTATGTTAAGTGGCATTTTATCCTTTTTCATTTTCAAAACAAATTGTACTTTTCACTCACACAATGTTCTGCACAAAACTGCTTCAGGTCACCTTTGAACCAAAGTTCTCTTTTTTTTTTCTCCCCTGAGAAAACCATACATTCCATTTCCCTACTGGTTTTCTAATATCCTTGCAAGTCATATTTCCAAGCAAAAATGTGGACACTTCAGCTGGTGTATTGAAGCTCGTATGCATTCATTTAATGTAAGACTATCACAGAAACATGCTAGAGTTTCAGAATGCAGCATACATGCAAAAGCAACATTTTCCAATCTTTGGAGTATTATTTTAATTCAAATAGCTCAACATAATGAAATAGCAATGCTGCTGGTCAGACTTTCCTCCCAAACACCAATACTTTAAAATTAAACAGAGTGCCAGTATGAACTATCAGGCACATTTTACAACATAGTCGCAGGAAGATGCTGGATTGCTATATTACAGCAATATTATTAAAGACTTTTCATTGCTAATTTGAATAACATCACGATGATTGAAAGCTGGAACTTGATTAGAGAGAATTCAAAGATAAAGTAGACATGAGTTCTGGAATGCAGCAACACAAGTGGAATACCCTAGCACTATCCAGCATCCAACATAAATATCTAAAATATTTTGGGACAATTTGTATTTTTTCTTAAAAAAGTATGAAACTGACAAAATTTGCTTCTTAGAACCAATATATAGTAGGCTACATATTAGTCCAGACCCTGGCAAAAAATAAAAATCTGGTGTCTAGCTCATTTTTGTGGTTTCGGACTTTTGGTATAAAAGGGTCATTTTATTTACAGAATGCACTCCGATTTCTAAATTTAACACTTGAATCTCTACAGGCTACAACACAGATAACAGAAATATAGCCTCCAATATGGAGGAACACTAAGTGCCGTCACGCCTGTGGAATATACTGAAGGATGGCCCGAGTGTACTTTAGGAAGGTCTTTACTTCTGACAAATCATAATTTTCATCATAAAATTAACATGTTAGTTTTCTATTGTCTTAACCATCACATAAACATTTCGCACAAAGTGACTGCAATTTGCCTTAGTTTTAGCCAAATCTGAAATATATACAGTGAAATACAGAATTCATATTCATAACAAGTATTATCAAAATACAGAAGTCAAGGCCGAAGCATTAACGTGATAGAGTTTTTTTTCGTTTGGGCTCAATTTCAGTTTATAAATAAATAGAAACATCTTAATAAAGGCCATATGAAGGACGTTAACTATGTTTTATATAATGATATAGTTCTTATTCGAACAGATTTGCCTCATTACACTTTCCCTTTTGAATAAGTCAGCATCGTTAATGTTATTCAATTATAAATACCTCCAATCCGTTGCCGAAACTCTTAGTCTGACTACTAAAAAAACAAGTCAAAGTACAGCAGGAAAGGCAAATACTTGTAAAACACGAGTGCAGGAAAATCATTTCAATTTGCATGCAAGTTTATGCAACAAATTATCAGTAATTACTTTTATAATTATGGTGAATTATGCAACACATTCTCAAAACATTCTGCTCAATTATGCTTAACTATTTCGTGAAATATTTATTATAAACACATCAATTTAAACAGCGTATAAATCGCATACTTAAAATTTCCAATGATTTAATATGAACTACATATTAAAATTCAGGTCAATCATTATTTGAAACTTTGATTTACATTTTTCGAGCAAACCTACTCAGCGGTTTGTATTTTATACAGGAACACATTTGATACCTACCATTGAATTGACTGTGTTTAATAAAATAAGGGTAGAGTGGAGAAAGTCGTTACAATAAGTCACAAGAATTATGACTGATTGAAGGAGATTATTCATCTTAAGCAGGTCAGGCCGGAAAGTAAGGTAACCCACAACATTAATGTTCGCTATTAACTTTATTCGGTTAAATACGTATACACGAAAGAAGCAATTGATAATTAGGTAGAACAAGTTCACGTGACTTTGGAAATCTATTTTCTTAAACTTTTCAATGCATTAGTGAAGAACGGCAGCTCAAACACTGTCTCACCTACACATCTGCTGTTTAGTGCTTGGATCGGGGCAATTAATTAAATTTAATGTACATTCTCCCTAAAAACCTGACTTCGCACAATCATCACTTAACGGGACCGTGAATGGATTCCATCGATATCAAATGTGCGTAACATGTTAATTCGATAAAAGAGCTTTCTGAATTTACTTGGAACACAAATATAAATGCCTTGTATTCTCGAATGGATTTGTCGTAATAATGTGGGGTCAGATTTAATGGGGAACCAGAGTCTTGAACCTTCAGATCTTGGTACAGAGATGTTGCATAGTTAACAATCGTTGAACGCCCCAAACGAGTGCCGTCATACATAAGAAAAAAGAAGTAACTGAAAAAAAAAACTCCAGAACTTAAGTCTCTTATGAGCCATTTATCCATCTATCTATGCATATCAATTGATCTCTTCGACGAAGAAGTTAGGGCCATAATAGGTAGGTTAGCGAAAATTGGCAAGTGGCGTGGAAACGAATACTACTTGGAGACAAAAGTAAATGAGCAACAAACTAGCTTGTTTGTACAGAGACAAAAAGGAGCAAAATAAAATTTCTAAATTCACAACAGAATGGATGGACAGATGGATGAATGGATTGATATGTTGGTTAAGGCTTATCGTTACAATGTTTGCAAAGACTGGAGGGTGTTCCTGTATAGACAGCGCACTTATCCGGACAAGCAGCAATGGAAGTGCCTGTAAATGGGTAAACAGCAGACTGTCCGAAGGAGCTCAGGGTGTTGGTCAATGCAGCTGCAGAGGGAATGGGTCCTGTCAGCGCCTGGCCCTGGTTCAAATAAGCTACCAGCCGCCTCATTTCATCCAAAGCCTGAGCCTGCATTAAGATATAGTTTTTCGCCAGAAGCAAAGTGGCGATTTTGGACAGTTTTCTGACTGATGGGCTATGGGCATAAGGAATCACAGATCTAAGACCATCCAGTGCATCGTTTAAGTCGTGCATCCTTCTCCTCTCCCTCGCATTGATGCTTAGTCTCAGCGACCGAGGCTCTTTGTCTTTCTTGCCAATTGAACTTTTTAGTTTGCCCTCGTTGTCACTGCTTGGATTCCTTGTGCTCCCGGCAGACCGGCCGTCGCTATCTTCTTCGTCTCCTGTCTGGTCTTCGCTGCTTTCTGTTGTTTTTGGATCCTGACTGATGGAGTATGGAGTACAGCTTTGTCCAGACCAGCTCTCCCGGTTTTCAGCACCTCGGCTAGTGCCACTGTAGCTAAATGTAGATTGGCTGTAGCGCTGGGGCAGATCAATATATGTGTCATTGACAATGGAATTTAACTCGTCCCTCCCTTTGACAGAGATGTTTGCAGCGCTGTGAAACAGATCTCCTTCCGCAACGTTCATTTTTTTTTAGAATCAGTCACTTGAATCAAAAAGGATTACCCCTCTTCGCCTTTCTTCAATATTAAATTGGCGACGTTTTGAATGAGAAAAAAAAGTGCACAGAAGCTGTGTGTGTGTGAGAGAGACAGCTCCTCGGACCTCTTCTCCAGTGCGCGTCCGAGCACTAGGAGGGATATGACTCACTTTCTATCCCACTTTCAGGTTATTGCAGAGAGTCGCCTGTTGGGACATGCCGTCTACCCAATCAGGAGGACGCTTTAATTAATAGGATTAAAACGTTTGGAAGAAAAGGTCGGCAGCTGCCAATACAGTCAGTTGGCTTTAATCTAAACACATACACGCACACATACAATGTCGGACCTAAACTCTGCAGCATTGCACGCAGGTTCCAGCAATCAATCTCAGCAGCTACCGACCGCACGGAATGCAACAAATTCCACCAACAGTTCTGGGGTACGCACTAAAGGTCAGATGGCTCATCCAATTGTTGCATGCGGAAACTTCCAGAGAATCAATAATTAGGAACAAACATCGGCAGCAAGAAAATTCTACCTCACAGTTTGCAGAGATGTCAGGGTCAACTTCTTTTCGGAAGTTTGTTTTTGCCTTTAGTGCCTAACGAGTCCCAGTAAAACGTCGCATGGCTGTTGAATGTGCCTGCGCGAAAGCAGGCCGTTCGGCTATCGTGCCCTGTGTGAACAAAACATTCACCAGCCGGTTTCAGAAGCGGGTCAGATCAGATACGATATGAAAATGGCCTTGTTCAATGAGCAAATCGCCCTGGCTTTAGCTACTTAACAGACCTAAGAATACGTGCACAATATTTCCAACCCTGCAGACGTTATAAACATTTTTTTTCTCTCTCTCGTTAGTAGGGAACGTGAACATCATTTTTAGATCGATTAAGTTAAACTTTTACCATTGGAGTTAGCCTTGGGCATTTTAAAAATAAGACTATTTGATTTAATTCACATTTTTTGTGACAAAAACAAATCCACTCTCGGGCCAAAGTAACTTGCACCATAATGAGACGGTTTTGCAACGTGGCTGATTTTCAAGTTGCACTAACTGATCTGGCTGAAAGCTGTCCCTCTTGCCGAACGTTACACAAGTCAATGAAATGTGATCTTAAGGGAGACAACATAGCTGACAACAGAATGGCAGATAAATGAGAATCTGACGACGTTGCCTGCTGCTTGCATCGATACGATTATTTCAACTGCTCCCAGACAATGTCTAAACACTGTCTGGATTGAATAAATTTATGTCCTTGTATCTATCGTTCCAAAGTTCCTTACGTTTTCAGTAGTTTACACGCAACTCGTGAAGAAGATTGTTTTCTGCCAAAAATCTGTTGGCTGGCTCTTGGATGAAATGTTTTAGAATTTAACACAAAGATAAGCTAATTAAGATGTAAACGGTGGATTATTCTGCAGACTCCTACACCTGGTGATGAAGAGCAGCTGTAATTCATGGAGCACCAACATGTTACAAAATAAAGTAACTGATATAATATGATTCAGTTAAATTACAGTGGCATGTTTCCAAAACAAGGTAATGATGACCGAAGGATATCTAAGGTTTTAAAATCAATAAAACATTTCAAACTCCACTTCAAAAGGGTCACACTGATGACCAACGCCACCGTGTGGAAGAAATGCACACTTTAAAAAATAATTTAGTCAATATTTTAATGCTGCAAAAAAAGTTTCCGTCCTTACCAGAAGTTACTAGCATTAACAAATCCACGAAAACCAGAACCTCTGTCCCAAAGAGGTAAAGGATTGTTGAGCTGTGGATGTAATCTTACTATTTCATTCCTAATCATTCCTGCGTACAGTTGGAAATCTGAATTCAAATAAAGCCTGAGATAACAAGGTGTAGAGCTGGATGAACACAGCAGGTCAAGCAGCAGTAGAGGAGCAGGAAGGCTGACGTTTCGGGCCTAGACCCTTCTAGACCCCAAATAAAGCCTACGTAGTCTTAAACAAAATTGTCATTACATTGACGTGTATGCAAACAAACACGAAACGACTAACTATTTTCAAATAATCACCCAGCCTTCTGCTAAAATAAAGCAGAATTACCGCGGACTGCTTTTTTGCCGAAGATAAGGTACATGTTTTGAAATGTATTTATATGATCATTCATCTTTCTTGCACCTGTGAAATAATAATCTTTTACTTTCCTCCGTGCATTGGTCTGAATTAATCATGGGACGTATAAACTCTTGGGCTTCAAATTTATTATTTAATTGCTACATTAGTACATTATAAGAACTTATTGCTATTACGGCTGCATTTTGGCATCCAGGTGAAGTGAATGATACATTTATACAATAGTTGGAATCTGAGTACAGGCTTATAGGCCGAGCGGGCATCAAACCTAAGGATCAAACCCTGTGATGCTGGAAGCTTTTAGGTACACCCTAGTTTACAACAGTGCTTCTGCCTGTTACATAATACAACCAAAATAAAAAGGGAAAACATATTATCATTGTCAGTATGACACTGGTATATTAATATTTGCATTCACTCCCTGTGTACAACCCTTTCGTCTGTTCCAATGATTTTGTGTAAACATTTTCTGTGCTTCTCATTTCCTCACCCTCAAAGATATACCCTGTGCCGACTGACTCTCGTGCTTCCTAAATGAGCACTCAGGGTTCTATTTAAACATGCATTAGAAATACAATGATAACTTTAACAACTGAATAATCTCGACATTCAAATTGGCATTTGGCATCTATTCCTACCTGACCTGAGAACCACATTTGGTCTCAATTCGAAATGTCCATAGCAGATGGAATAATCTACATATTATTTAAATCTATATATCCTGCCAATTCTCATGGGAATTTCAATGATTAATTATTTTATAGGCACTTCCACTTGTAATTAATTGTGAAGTTTGCAGAATCTGAAATAATTGTGTTTCCATTAGAGCCTTTGAACACTTTGTCACACATCCCAGTCACATTTTCCACCAAAGTAGTTGGTTTTAATTGATCCATGGGCTGGTTCTCTGGCAATGAGGTGGTTGTAAAGTGCATTGCCAATCTTCATCTGAAAATTTTACAACTGTCATTTTTTCAGTAACAGAAAAATCTATTGTCCAAAATAAAAATGATACATATTTCACAATAACGTGATTAAACCTACCCGCTTTCTTTGCTTGTTGGGATTTGGATAGCTCAGTTGGCTGGATGGCTGGTAGTAATGCCAACAACATGGATTTGATTCCTGCATTTGCTGAGGTTACCATGAAGGAGTCTATTTCTCAATCTTTCCCATTGCCTGAGGTGTACTGACCCTCAGGTTAAACCACCTCCAGTCATCTGTCTCTGAAGAGAGAGCAGTGTTATGTTCAGAGACCAATCAGAGTCTCTTTATTTTATTTTTTGGCCTATCTCATTACAGATTTCTCTTGAATATTTCAAACACTGTGTTACAATAGAATTTTTTCCCAACACAATGGTTCAGATGAGCTTTTAATCACATCAGTACATTCTGAGTGCACATAAACTTGCAGAATTTCCAAGTATACTTTTGAAGCATCAACAGGCATTTAAGAGTCAAGGCAGCTACCCTCATTCTGAAAGATTCCTCGGGATCAAAGTCTCAAAACAGTTTATTTCAGGCAAGTGAATCTGTATAAGACATTACACTTCTATTTTACTTTTCGTCTTGCCGGAAAAAAAACAGAAGCAACATATGAGGAATAATAATAGATATCATGTTGGTTATTTGTTTTTATTTGGAAAATAAAGCATAAACTGGTTATGGAGATTAAGCATGATTAAGGGAAAAACCCTTGGAGAAATTTGCAAAGCATTCAACATCAAGAATGATTACTGATTTTATTCAATCACCACTTTTTTTTTGTAGGAGTGCCAGTGTTTAGTTAATATACAGAGTGGGTATGGTGGTATTCATTTGGTTCAGCAGAAGCTGCAAGAAACTGATGATTGTGCTAGCATCAAATAGTTAGCAGGGCTTTTGTGTTTTGGCTTTTCATCTTTCATTTTTCTATATGCTTTTGCTTCTTGTGTTTTATCCTTCTTAATTCTTCACACATTAGGGAAACTTTGAGCTCACTAGTTGCCTTTTTTATACGGTCTTAGAGACACGCAGCATGGAAACAGACCCTTTGGTCCAAGCAGTCCACACCGACCATAATCCCTAACCAAACCAATCCACCTGCCTGCACTTGGTCCACTTCCCTCCAAACTGTTCCACTTCATGAACTTGCCCAAATATCTTTTAAACATTGTAACTGCACTTGCATCCATCACTTTCTCTGGCAGTTCATTCCACACATGAACCACTCTCTGTGTAAAAGGGTCGCCCCTCATGTCCTTTTTAAATCTCTCACTTCTCACCTTAAAAATATGCCCTCTAGTTTTGAACTCTCCCACCCTAGGGAAAAGACCCTTGTCATTCACTTTATCTATGCCCCTCAGGATTTTATAAACCTCAATAAGGTTACCCCTCAACCTCCTACACTCCAGTTAAAAAGGCTTCAGTCTTTCTAGTCTATTTGTATATCTCAAACCTCCGTTGCCAGCAACATCCTGGTAAATCTGTTCTGAATTGTCTCTAACTTAATAATACCCTGCCTATAACAGGGTGACCAGAATTGCACACAGTGCTCCAGAAGAGGCCTCATCAACGTCCTGTACAATCTCAGCATGATGTCCCAACTCCTATTCTCAAAAGTCTGAGCAATGAAGGCAAGTGTGCTAAATGCTTTCTTAACCATCCTGTCTACTTGTGATACAAATTTCAAATTTTATCATGAACATGTAAGTCTTTTCACCATTTCCCCCCTCTGCCAAATATCTCTTTTGCTTAGGGGACTAATTTCTAATAGTACTCTCTATTCTCCTGGAGAACATGTAAGATATATGTGCTCTCTTGTCATTTCCTTCGAGAGCTAACACATTGGTGAAGTGGGATGGCAGCATCTGGCAATGACTGTTCTAAGGCTGTGACACTGAG